TCTTGTTGTCGTTTGGTTTCTTGAAGTTCCAACATTTTGCGCAGGAGTTCTTCAACTTTTTCTTCATCCATTTTGGCTTGTTGTCTTGTAATAGGCATATACAGAATGTTCTAGAATTTCCCTCGGACTTTCTTCAAATATCTTTTCTGGCCTTTGCTCGAAGTTCCAAACACGCCGGTGAAGTCACAAATTGGATAACTTGCTTTATTCTAGAATAGAATGTTCGGGAATTTTCTTGAAACTTCTTTTCTAGATGTCGCTTGATACAGCAAACACGTCGGTGAAGTCACAATTTCGATATCTCCCTTGGTTTCCAAATAGAATGTTCTAGAATTTTCCCGAAACTCCTCGAAAAACCTCTTCTGAATGACGATTGATGTTCCGAATATGTCGGCGAAGTCACAAATTCGATATCTCCCTTAGTTTCCAAAAAGAATTTTCTAGAACTCACTCGAAGATTCACTATCACAGTCTAAATCGGGTATAGAGTCACTTTTTTTTTTACGGATATGCGCACTCGCAAGGAAATGTCCTATCACGCTCGAGAAGCGGCAAGTGCGCGGAAACGTCGGTGTATGTTGGTCTTGAAACGGTTCAGGTTGTAACCTGCAGGGAAAACCGTCGCAGGGAGTTTATTCCACAGCGATGCTGTTCTCCAGAGATATGAATTCTGATATGAGGTTCTTGGTGCCTCTAGTTTGACAGTAAATTCATGGTTACCGTCTGATTGACGGGTTCGCCTGGTAGGTGCTACTCTCGGTGGAATCATACGTGCCAACTCTTCAGAGCATTTTCCGTGATAGTACCTGTAGAAGAGAGATAAATCGCCCACAGATCTGCGATGTTCGAGACCATCCAAGTTACGAGTAAGTGCGGGGTCATTGATCAGCTTGATAGCTCGTTTTTGCACGGTATTCAAAAGCATTAAGGTATGTTTGGGTGCTGCACTCCATATATGTGAGCAGTACTCCATAGTTGGTCGAATCTGGGCTTTGTAGAGTGTCAGCAATTGGCTTGGTGTGTACAGATGTCTTGTACGAAATAGCACCCCCAGCTTTTGGGAGGCCCTTTTAGCAATATCTGCCACGTGACTGTGCCTAGACATGTTGGTCTCTGCAGTAACCCCCAAGATGCTCAACTGACTCTGTAATGTGACAGCACTTCCAGATAGCATGATGTTTGGCTCACCGGTGCTGGTCTTTTTTGAAAACAGAGCTGCTTGGGTTAGTTTGGGTTGCGTTGAACTGTACAAGGTTTTTGTTACCCCAGTCCTCTATTATCTCCAGGTCGTTATTTATCTGCGATATTTAAGTTAGTCTAAGATGATGGAATTCACGTGCGGAAAGACCTGTGGGTGGTATGAGTGAGGAGACTACATTGCCATCGTCTGCAAAGCAATAAAGTGGATTTACTGTTTTATCTATGAGGTCATTTATGTAAATCAGGAAAAGAGTTGGCGAAAGGATTGCTCCCTGTGGCACACCAGCATTTATTTGGTAAGAGTTGGAGTTCTGGCCATCCAGTGCAACATAAATGAATCTGTCATTTAGGTAACTTTCAAACCAAGTGCAAAGTTTCGGCGATAATCCCATTGCTTTGAGCTTGTTGAGCAGATTTTCATGCCAAACTTTGTCGAATGCTTTAGATATATCTAAGGCAATTGTTCTTGTTTCACCCCGCAACTCAATCGCTTTTTGCCATAAGTGAGTGATGTATGTAAGTAAATCGCCAGTTGACCTATATTTTCGAAATCCGTATTGCTTATCGTTGATAATTTTGTACTTTTCCAAGTACTTGGTTAGGTGATTGTTCACAACTCTTTCCATTACTTTTGATATCACCGGAAGTAGAGCAATTGGTCTATAGTTTAACGGATCTGTCTTTTTTCCTTTCTTTGGAATAGGTTGTACTGCGGCAGACTTCCATGATGATGGATATACTCCTTGCCTGTAAGACAAATTGAATAATTTTGCGAAAGTTGGGGTGAGTTCGTTGGCGCAATTTTTGAGTACTATTGCGGGAATGCCATCCGGACGCATTGCTTTGTTTGTATCCAGCTTTTTTAGGGATTTTCGTATTTCTCTGTGACAAAAGGGTACCTCTGGCATACTATGGGAAACCCTTTCAATGAACGGTGGAGTTTTTCCGTTTGGCACTGTTAGGTTGGAGTTGGAGGAAAACATTTGGGCAAGCATATTGGCTTTTTCCTCTGATGTTGTGGCTAAGTGATTATTTTTATCTGTAAGTGGTGGTATGGATGACTTGGTGAAGTTAGATCCAACAGCTTTTGCAAGAGACCAAAAAGACCTAGAACTACTTGGACAATTCAGCAACCTGTTTTTTATTCTTTGATTGTATGTTTCTTTAGCGGAGTCAATAGTAATTTTGGAACTATTTCTGGCTTCTATAAATTCTGTGTGGTTTTGAGCGGTTTGTTGTCGTTTCCAAAGGTTATATGCTCTGTGTTTTTTCTGTACAGCCGTTTGAAACTGGCTGTTGAACCAATGTTTTGCATTAGCTCTACGTTTAGTTGTATGTGGGATATATGCGTCCATTCCAGATAAGATTACTTGTGTTATTTCATTACAGCAAATAGTGGGATCAGCTGTTTTAAAGCAAACCTCTTGCCATGGAAAATCCAGGTAATACTGTTTTAGGTCATTCCATTTTGCCGATTTATAGTGCCACATTTTACGAGGAAGTGGTTGTAGGCTTGGTGGGATGAGCATTTCGCACTTTGTTATTATAAGTTTATGATCGGACGAAACAAGTGGAGCATATCTACTTGAATTGTGTACGAGTCAGGATTGGAACAAGCCTAAAAGCGCTGCAAATTCGCCCCTTTCTGAGATACGGGTAGGTTCATCGACAAGCTGCGTTAGACCACAACTTATGGCAAAAGCTTCTGCTTCTCTGCCTTCGTTATCTGTTTTGTTGTGGTGTTTCAGCCAGGGTATATTGTGGACGTTGAAATCGCCTAAAAAGACAATTTCCGCCTGTGGATAGTTTGACTGTATACTATCACAGCTTTCGGATAATGTCGCGAAAAAGTTTTGGTAATCGGTGTTACTTGGCGGTCGGTAGAGGCAGCAGATAAACTTGGTCGATGACTTTGAGGTGAATTTTAGCCATATGATATCAAGGTTCGCTGGTTTTAGCTTCTCCTCTCGATGACATGAAAGGTCATTTTTAATGTACACACAGATCCCAAAATTATGTCGAAATCGGTGGTGTAGGTCATAGCCGGGATAAAGATAGTTCACAATAGGTGTTGCAGAACTGATTTTAGTTTCAGTGAGAACAAGGATGTCAGGTCTTTGTTCTTCAAGATGTTGGTGAACTGAATTCATATTTGTACTTATTCCTCTTATATTGCTAAAATAAATTCTGAGTTGAGTTTTTGATCTTCTCTTTATATCTTTGCATGAAGGACCCCCAGGATCACCCGACGCCCGGAGATCCGAGTGGTCGGGTATTTTACCTCCGGAATATTTTGATCTTGGAGGCGCCATCATGCTATCTGTTACTCATTGTTGGAACCGGACTGCCAGCGCAGTAGCGGAACGTGGTGATTCCACTTAGCGCTACTTCCGGGGTAATTCACACGATCGGTTGAGTCTCTTTTTGATTGTCACTGTTTGCACTGCACTAACTGTCCCAGTGTTCACTTAGTGTTCAGTTTTTATACTACACTAGTGTCCCCGCACTTCCGTAATTGGATTTCACTCTGCAGTCCTTTATATCTCACTCCTGACACCACTTGTCGCGGCTTTGGGTTGCCTGCTGACAAAAATCTTGGGTTCGTTGTTCGTTTCGTTTATTCCAAAAATCAAAGTCCAATTAACACAGCAATAATTTATTCCACTTAACAAAACACTCTGACACTAATTACTTTATTAACAAACTCAACAATCAAACTCTTTACAATCACTATTTAAATCGTATCACAGCCCAACTGAAAACTAACTTGCAAGTTAAAACCCGTCCTTATATATATCCCTAAATCTATTCCTGTAAAATCTAGAACACACACGATAATGTTATTTCTCGATTATAGTAGAATAATTCGCTAGATTCGAGGATATTCGACATCGATTCTTGACAGCCTGGCGGACGCCGTTAACGATATCGTAGCAATATTAATAGCTCATTAAAGAGCTATGATTTTTCTGATTTTAATGATATAAAGTTCGATAGGTTTATCTCTAACCGTTTTCAAGAAAAAAAATTATTTTGGTTTTTGTCATAAGAAACAATGTATTAGAAAAAGACCTTTTTCATTTTCCTTACAGATATAAAGTCCTTTTCTAACTCATCGCTTCTTAGTCGCTATCGGTGTCCAAGACCGACGAAGTACAATTGTCAATGAAGTGGCGCTTCCGCCACGGTGTACAGAATTGGACAACTAATTCTAGATTTTACTTAAGATGCGGAGTTGTTGGTTGGTGATAGGTCAGTAAAATAGCTCAGAGAATCAAATTTTTGTATTGATCAACATTTCGACCAATATATGGTCATCCTCAAGGTCCTAAAATAGGTACATCATAATGACAAGTTGTTACAAACAATAAAACAGTACAAAAAGATTTTGTGATAATAATTTAATAGCAACATAAATAAAGGGTAAGATAGCTATAGGTTTCATGTACAAAAAAATGTAGTTTAAATTGTTGTCTATAAAAAAGTTCTGTGTTATTATCGAAGGCCTGATATTAAAATAAATACAATACCTACTATTATCTAATTAACGTACTTACTTACAAGTTAAAAAGTCTGTGTTAACTTTAAAAAATAATAAAAAATAAGGAACGTAATGACCGTGGTAAATGCTATACATATATGGCGAGTTTTTCACTCATTTTCATTTTACTCATTTTGTCTTAAAATGGCTGCAAAACCAGGCTGTTAACTTCACACTTTGACTGCTGTAACTAGCTGCTAATTTCACACTTTGGCTGCTGTGAATGCGGCTGCTAATTTCACACCGGTATATTTTATAGACGCCCTGCTGCCAGAAAGTATACACTTGTCGCTTCTGCCATGACGAAAAAGAAAATCATTCGATGAACAGAAAAGAAGTAACGGAGCTTATTTGCACCATTTGCGAAGCCAGACAACCAGTACAGGCAGCTTGTAGAAATTGTGGGGTGAAATTTGGAAAGGTAAAAAACATAACTTTAAAAAATATTTTATTGATTATTACATGAATCTTTTTGTTGTAGTATGTTTGTCTAGAATGCAATTTATTTGATGATGAAGAAAAAAACCAGTTCCACTGCCAAGGTTGCGGCATTTGCCGGATTGGCGGCGCTGATAAGTTTTTCCATTGCAAAAAATGTAACATGTGTTTGCCAGTGCTACTGAAGAACGGTCATAAATGCGTCGAAAACGTGTCTCGAGCCAACTGCCCGGTATGCCTAGAAGACATTCACACGTCGAGAATACCCTGTCACATACCCATGTGCGGTCATTTACTGCATCGGACGTGTTTTGAGCAGCTTCTAGAAGCTGGCCATTACGCTTGCCCTATTTGTCAGACTTCTTTGATGGATATGACGCAACTTTGGAAATATTTAGATCAACAGGTGGCTAACACTCCCATGCCGCAAGAGTATAAGGATTATATTGTTAACATTTTGTGCAAAGATTGTCATAAGGTGAGATTTTTGGTCATAAACATTATTCATACTAACTTGAATATATTATTCTGAATGAGAACAGAGTAATTACAGGACAGACAATATAAAATTGACTGATTTTTTTTTCATTTTCATATTTCGAGAATTTTTTTTTTTCCGAAGAAAGCTCAGCACCTACTTATTAAGAACTTTATCAAATACAGTTCAACTTTAACAAACTTTATCACTGAAACATGCGAAAAGGCAGTTCATTACAAGCTACTTGTGTATTTTAATGCTAGTTCAAAAAAGGGAATTGAAACTTAAATGCCCGATATGGTTTATACATGTACTAGACTCAAACGAAATATTTTTCGTCTGAATTCTTCTGTGTGTGCTTTCCTAGCACAAAGTAAAATGCTCAAGCTTTGTGGCAAATATACATAATACATACATCATACATCTATGTAATATTTTTTCTTTGTAGGAATGCACGGTTCCTTTTCATGTAGTGGGCTTCAAATGTTGTCATTGCGGCTCTTATAATACTTGTCGGATCAAGGGTCCAAATCCAAGAGGAGGTGAGTGGAACATACTTTAATTTTTCTTCAGAAGTTTGTATGAGTTACTTTTTTTTCCAACACATGCTATATATATTTATTTTTTTTTCTATAAGCACCTAGATGTGAAACATCTGTATGTGCATACTACAACTTTGTATTAAGAATTAACCACTTACCACTTGATTATATAACAACTTGTCAGGGAACATTGGAGATTCAAACTCCATTTGACCATACAAGAAAAAACTAAAATTACTTCTGTTATGATATTTCTTCCAAGTTGTTTTAGGTTTCCTTTTTTAATGTGTAAATTTTCTCACCAATTGAAAAGAAACTCTATTCAGTTTTAGGTATGGTCCCTAGAGGAGAAGGTAGCAATTCGGGCAACAACAACAACCAACCTGAACAACAAGAAAGTCCGCCTGAACCAACTAACGAGCCTCCTTCCCAGTAACATTTAGTAACTTTATCCATAGTTACATTTTTATTTTGCTCGCTTGTGATTTTTTTATTGCTCATGTGTTTCAAGCCTTTTGAAAGTTTGATTAAATTTTAACATAAAATTACTGCCAAAAAAAAAACAGTAGTTTTTTCCTTTGTGCTGGTACATAAGAGGTTTAGTAAACTATTTTTGGAAGACATTTAATAAAATGAATCATAAGTTGGTGAAAATTTAATATTATAATAAACGTTTTCCTATGTAAGGCAGCTGTGGAGCTGTGTTTCTCGAACTGATAAATAATTTGTTGTGCCAAAGGAATGTTATTAAATTGTACAAAGTATTCCTAATATTCTGGGTTAACAATACCTATTTCATGCTTTACCTATTTGTACAATTTTATTGTTATGTAGTTGTGTACCTTTGATGTCTTATCATAATAGTTAGCCAGGATCCCTCAATGATTGCCAAAAAGATATTCAACCGTCAAATCTCTACTTACATTTTTCTATTATTAAGATACTCATGTCAAAGCTTTTAAAACTTTATGAATGTGCAAATAGTTACATTCAATTTATCTTTGATGGATCATCTTTTATCATTGGATAACTGATGCATTTTCTTCACTCTTCTATGAAAAATGGAAGAAACATTATTTCGAAAAACCAGCTAAAAAAAAATACTTTAACTTTTTACACATGTAATAATCCCATGAATTGCATTTTAAACTAATCATAATTAAACATTCTCTGGTGAGTGGTGACTGCCATGAATTAAATCAAACTTTTATTTATATACAAACAGTTTTTATTATTTTTTAATTGCAATAATCTGTGTATATTTTGTAGAAATAGATTATTTCATATATAGGTTGTGATTTTTTTGAAACCATCCATAGTCCATTCTTGCTGGGATCTTTTCTGCAAAATGTATTCCAGCACTCCGTGTGTTTTGAGTTGCTAATTATCAGTAAATATTAATTTTCACATTTTTCATAAAAAAACAGATCTTAGATGTAGTATTTTCCACTAATAAAGCCAAAAAGTTACCATCTTTAAAAAATTAATTTATTGTTTATAAAACAAAATCAATGAAAAATCTACAATACAATTCCTTAAATCTAACAAATAAATAATATGTCTTGTTAAGTTAAAATATCAATGGGTTGCTCTTTAATAGGCACCTTAGTAGCGGCCAAATAGGGGTTATCTATATGGATCTGAGCATTTTCCTCGCTCTTTACTGAATCATTTAGATTACCCTCGCTATCCATTGGCTCGTCATCTTCATCTTTTTTATTCTGAGCCTCTTTGTGTTCTTTTTGTTGTTGCAAAATTTGACTTTTGGGATCAAAATCTAAGTCTTCTGGGTCAAAAATTTGATCCTGGGGCAGAAGAGCACTTAGGTATGGTGGATAAGGGGGTTTCATTGCAATCACTACAAAATAATTGTCATTATGTTAATCTACAATGAAAAGAGTTTCCAAAAAGAAAAGAACTAGCAACTGTGAACAAATTGAAACTGTAAGTACATGTACATATTGAAATAAGAAGTATAGTATAAGTCACAACATAATATATAAATATGTATTGCTGGAATGGATGATAAATTTAAAATATTGATCATCAACTTACAAGGAAATAAATTTCCTTCTTCTGTATCAAAAAGATTATGAGTTGTGCTAGTTTTAGCCAAAAATTTAGTAAGCGCCTTCTCAATATCCTTTTTTTGCATTGCAGCTTTTTCCCGCACTGATTCATAGTCTATGATTGGCTGCTTGTGAGTCTAAAACAAACAAAATTGAACATTTTTCGAGAAATATAATAAATAATTTTTGTGTACTTACAGGTGTTCGAACATAAGCATGCGGATCAGGAAATGGTGGTAAATGCTTGGGTATATATCCTGGTAAAGGTTCCTTTGACCCAGCTGATAACATATTCAATAGTTTTTGGGGCTGTTGTGGCTGTAATGTTGGCAAAACCATATGTTTGCCTGATTTCAGATAACTTTCCAGTGAACCAATGTTGATTCCTAAAATAAAAATACATATCGTTATTTCTTATTGCACTTATTAAATTGATGCTTGCTGTGAACAAATGATTTTCAAAATAGTTATTTTTGTATCTAGGGCGCGAAATGCTACTTTGGTGATCGAGATCTAATTTTTTCAACGAGGCGTAGCCGAGTTAAAAAAATAGTCGAGATCACCAAAGTATTTCGCGCCAGAGTTGCAAACAATATTTTTTCTACAACTCCATTTAAATATCGATCATTCGAAGCTAAAATTGCATTTTCAAATAAAAGTAGGTGAATTTTAATTATTTTTGGTTTCCTGACAGGTATGTGTCACCATGACACCCAGTGTGCGAACTAGCTATTTCGCGCACGGCGTCATGGCAACGTTAAAAAATCAATACCTGAGAAAAAAAGTGTGACTTCGCAAACTGTCATGAGTGTGCGAACACCATCATTTTTTGACAGTTGTAGAAAATAGTTATTTTCCTAACAAGTGCGCAAAGTGTTACTTTTCCGCACGCAAACACAGTTATACGAACGACGCGAAGCGGAGTTCGGATACGTTGATGTTCTACTGAGTTCCATTACTACTGAGATTAAGAGTGATTTATAAATTTCTGTAAAGAGCCACACTAGACATCAAATTAGATTGTCTTTAACAAGATTTAAGCCATTGCATCGGTCTCCATAATAATATTACATGTGGACCACGGACCACCAGACAAAGCAAAGACTAATGGACTAATAGTGGAGAGCCTACACAAAAAAAACCGCCAAATTGGGTTACAAGCATGAAATTTGGCATAGTTGTCAGGAAGCTCATTTTAAGAGATCTGACCCGACTAGCCAGGCTCTGCGACCCTCAAGACTCCCAATCTCGCATTTTTTTTCAAAATGGCGGACGGGAATTGTTGAAATATGTATCCGAAAGGATAATATAATATACAAAAACAAATCTACCTTACCAGGAATCGACCTGAGAATTGACAAAGAGCAATAAACCCAAAAGGTTGGTATTTATTGCCTTATTTATTTATTGTACTTGGGTATTACTTTTTGCGTTGTAAATGTATTTTTCCCACACCCCGAAAAGGATTAGGGTGTGAAGATGAAATATAAAAGCTAAAGTTAAGTTAGTCGTTCTGTTATGTTTTAAGACGAAACATTGAAATATATTATCGTGCCTTAAAACGTATCTATCGTGTTTTAATTAAACCACTGATAACCTGAAATATTTAAAAGGTTATGGTCCCCAGTTTCGCGTAACACTAATATTGTTACTCAGTGGTGAATAAACGCAATTAATAGACTTTCGAAAATATGGAAAATCGCGGCGCGAGTAAAAGAAACATCCAACCTTTTAATGGTGACCGGTACGGTGTTCGGAAGTTTCGAGTAAAATCATTGCTAACGGAATTAAACATTATCCAGGTGGTTGACAGTGTAATTCCCAGTGATCGTAGTGATGAGTGGCTCAAAAACAATAACATTGCAAAAAGTGTGATCATTGATAACTTGAGCGACTCATTTTTGGGTTTCGCTAAAGGACCAACTACAGCGAGAGAGGTATTTCAGAAGTTAGATGAAATATATGAGCGGAAGAGTTTGGCCTCACAGTTGGCATTAAGAAAGAGACTTCTGACTTTGAAACTACACGGAGATATTAGTTTGTTACAGCATTTCACAAACTTCGATGATATCGTCACCGAATTAATAGCCGCTGGAGCCAAAATTGATGAAATGGACAAAGTTTCACACCTTTTGTTAACTCTACCGTCATGCTATGACGGATTTATCACAGCTTTGGAAACATTGAGTGAGAATAATCTCAACTTATCCTTTGTCAAAACCAGGCTGCTCGATCATGAGGTTAAATTAAAAAATGATCGGACGACCACCAGTCTAAAAGTGCTCAATGTTGGAACACATTTACCGGCGGCAGATGGTAAAGGTAAAATGCAATTTAAAAAGAAAAAGCATTTCAGGAAACCATCCTACCAACATCAAAACAAAGTGAGCCATCATTTTTCTCAGTATAAAACCACCAATATTCAGTGCGACTACTGTGGTAGAAGCAACCTTATCAAGAAAAACTGCCGATTTTACAAAAGGAATTCTGATGAAAAACAGAGAACTTTGCAAACAGTTCACGGAATCCCATCATCAAATAATACTTCTGATGGCTTCGCTTTTATGATTGGACATAAACAAATTTCAGAGCAACAATCATACAAAACCTTGACCTTCTTGTTAGACTCGGGTGCAACTGATCACATTGTAAATAGCCGGGATCCGTTTGCCAGTATCCAGAGACTAGACACGCCGATTCAACTCGCAGTGGCCAAGAATGAAACCACTGTTACTGCCTTTGAAAAAGGAACCATCAACGTCGAATCCAATCTTGGTGTTCCGGGAAAACTAGAGAATGTTTTATACATTCCCGATGCAGTTTACAACAGTCTTTCAGTTCGCCGCATTCAAGCGTGTGGTATGACCGTTGTATTTGACCAAGATGGGGATAAAATTCTACACGGTAACAAACTTCTGGCAACAGGTAAGCCATTAAATGGTCTAACTGGAATTTCATTCAAAATAATAAGAAATTGCAGTTCTAAGATTGAGCCACAGATTAATGTGATTAACAATAAACACTACCAACTTTGGCATGAACGTTTAGGTCATGTCAGTAGCCAATCATTTTTAAAATTAAAGCAACATCAAATGGTAGAAGATGTTAACCACATTGACAATCTTAGTCCTGCAAACCATACCTGTGAGGCTTGCATATATGGTAAACAAACAAGATTGCCTTTCTCTAAAGCTAAATCCAAAAATCATGTTCAACGACCTTTGTTTATAATTCATTCGGATGTTTGTGGACCCATATCACCCATTACTATCGATGATAAAAATTATTTTGTCACTTTTATTGACCAATTTACTCACTACACAGTTACTTACCTGATAAAATATAAATCAGAGGTTCTTTCCGTCTTTGAAGATTTTATTGCTAAAGGCGAAGCTCATTTTAACTGTAAGGTAGTGTACCTGTATTCCGATAATGGGGGTGAATATTTGTCCAATGAATTTAAAGAATTTTGTGTTCAAAAGGGCATTACTTTTAATTTAACAGTTCCACACACCCCACAACAAAATGGTGTTGCAGAACGCATGAACCGTACACTTACTGAAAAAGCACGTACGATGATAATTACCTCTGGCTTAGATAAATCTTTTTGGGGTGAAGCTGTACTTACAGCCACTTATTTAATTAATATCTTGCCAACTTCTGCTCTGCAAATAAATAAGACGCCATACGAAATGTGGCATAATAAAAAGCCACAATTAGAATTGCTAAAAGTATTTGGATCTACCGTTTACATACATAATAAAACGAGAAAAACTAAATTTGATGACAAATCTTTTAAAGGCATTTTTGTGGGGTATAATCCTAATGGGTACAAAGTGTGGAATGTTAATACGAAAAGTTTTCTGACGGCTCGCGATGTAATCATTGACGAGACCAATTTTAAAATTACAAGGCCAACAATAGTTGAGAATACCTTATTGCCTAATACGAACCATAAAAATTCTGAATGTTCAGATGTTCATTTTGAACAAGGCGAATCGTCTAAAAGCGTCTCACATTTTCCCGAAAATAACGTAAATTTAAGGAGGAGTGAAAGAGTTAAAAATCATCCTACTCCCACTTATAAAGAAGATCTCGATGATAATATTAACAATGACATATACAGTCATTTGCTCTATGCAAAGTCGCTTTCCAATGCAATACCAAATTCATTTGATGAAATAAAGGCAAGGGATGACCGAGATCAGTGGGAGCTAGCTATAAAGGATGAAATTGACTCCCTCCTTTTAAATAAAACATGGTCAATAGTCGATAAACCCACAAATAAAAACATAGTAGGTTGCAAGTGGGTATTTACTACAAAAATCGATGAACATGGTAATCCAGTAAGATATAAGGCAAGACTGGTAGCAAAGGGATTTAGTCAACAATATTTAAGTGATTATAATGAAACCTTTGCGCCAGTTGCACGAATATCTACCTTTAGATTTCTATTGGCATTTTCAAATCAGTATGATTTATTAGCCCATCAAATGGACGTAAAAACTGCATTTTTAAATGGCGTCCTAAAGGAAGAAATATTTATGCAACTTCCAGAGGGTATTAAAGCCGATGCCAATAAAGTATGCAAATTAAACAAGGCTCTTTATGGCTTAAAGCAATCCTCCAGGTGTTGGTATGAAAAATTTGATAAAACAATGAAAGAGCTCGGTTTTAGAAGTTCCTCAGTTGATCCTTGTTTGTACTTTCTTAACAAAGGTAATATTAATAAAAATTTATATGTTATTGGTTGAGGTTTTATTTGGGATTGGATCGAAATAAAACAACAGAAGTCTGTTATTTCAGATTGTCGACGTTTCGCAATATATTATTGCATCTTCAGGACACTACAAAATGGTAAGACAATGTTATTGTGCAGAGTCCTAACAACTCCAGTTATGTTTATAGTATTGGGTACTTACATTTGAGATTGACTTTCTATGTCATAACATGAACAATATACGAAGTTGTTAGGTAGGTACAGATTCATAAGAGACGTTACATTCACCTACATGGTACAGTTTAAAACATCAAAAAATATCACAAAAACGTTATAAAAATAATCACACATTAAAACTTAAAAAGTAAATGATTTTAAAATAAAATATATAAGACAGACACAGCCAGCTGTTACTATTACAATAATAAATTAAATAGTGTTATCGTTCGTGGGAGCAAACAAAGAAAAACCAAGTAGGGAATGGCATCCGAATCAAAAAACACTAATATGAAAGCTTTTTTGTGATGATTATTTTGTTGTTGATAAAATGTTAAAATAGGCGTTACTTAAATTTTGTATATCTGTTCTTTTATTGACGCAATTTTTATCTTTTTGTATTTCGATCATCTCAGCAATTAGTCTTTTTCTGTAGTTAAATTGTGTTTG